AAAAATATCTGAAAGTGCAATTTACAGTTTATTATATAGAATATTCGTTCAGTTTTTTATCAGTATTATGTAGTCCACCATTTTGATTCTCCAGCAAAGGATTGTTGGTAAAGAGTGATACACTTAGATATATGTATCAACATAGATGAACTTATGAATTAACTAGCAGGTGATTTGCATGGAACAAACTAAAACATTCATACAAAGTTATCTTTGACTGGTGCATGTTTTTCTTGTCCAGACAGTCCAGTAGCTATCATTAAGCATGTTTCACTGGACGTCATTGTTAAACCTTCTTTGGGTTTTTGTGTTTCATTACTAAATGACCGAAACATGCATCAAAATATTTAATGAATAATAAAGCACAGCTGTGGTTGCACTGTTGACCATAGCAACCCTTGGCGACTTAAAGCAAGTTGGTCGTCACCTGCGTACACACGGGAATTGAGTCCCAATCGACGATAACAACACACTCTAAAAATGCAAAGGCTCATGGGTAGATGCTTGTTTGTAAACAATGACATGCTATGGCTATCTGACGCATGCGCAGGTGACGACTCTCCCGCTTTAAATGTGTTTAATTGCAATAAAACTTGTGATAGTATTAGTTATTTTTTGGGGATTTGTTTCAAGATTTTAGACAGATAATCCTGGTGATATCATATAATTCAACATGTCAAGGAACTTTAATAATAGACAGAGACTGACATTCACTATGACTTAGTTGTTTATCCTTATTACTCATTACCTTCTTGATTTATCTATCTGCTCCTTTGTCCATTTCTACATGGGGGTATCAGGAATGCCTGAACCAATCATATTCAAACATGGCACACATATAAAACATGCAAAAAATTTACACACTCATGATTTCATTTTATGATTCAATATTGAATGGTGGCCATTTTTATTTTTGATTAAGGATATTGTTATTGCATGAAAGCTAAATTTAATCCTAAGGTACAACTGCTCATCATCATCATCAACTTAATATTTTGTTTTGTTCTCTAGAAATTAAACATGATCTTAACTGTTGATTACAATGGGAGTTTGGTTCTATACAGTGGATTTATCAAGGTGAGATATTTGAAAATTCAAATTTTGTTTTGAATATTGGTACGACATAATTCATTTCATATTCATGCCACTTGTTTGATTTAATGAAATTTGTGTTAATTGAGCAAAACACATAGGGGGACTATTTCACTGACAATGATTTATTTATCATGAGAAGTGAATTTTGTTTCTTTACAGGTGGGCAAGGTTCACATCACTAGTGTGACATCATCATTGTCTATGTCAGGGCCACTGCCACGTCCCAGTACACCGTTAGACAGTCCAAGATTACCTATTACATCTAGTAGACCATCCAGTGCCATGGATACTGTAATGGATGAGGTGAGTTACTGATTTGCATTTAGTACATCATCTAGTCACTATTTTGAAATCACATCAGATATCTAATCACAGATGAATCAGAACAATAGAAATTAGAAGTGCAGCCACTTTTAAAAACATACCCCATCATTTCACTGCACTTAAAAACGGATTGTTGGATGTCATCTTTATTTAACTTTAACTATCAAATAATAAATCAACATATTCATTTCACTTTCTGAACTTTCAAGATGCAGCTTAATTTGCATGAATATCCATTTCTAAAAATTTAGTAACTGTAGTCAAATTTCTGAAAATAATAAGACCCCCTTAGTGATGGTGAAATATTACCTGTTAATCCATGATGTGCCATGGATGCTGTACAGTCCTGTAACTCTCATTGTATTTTAAGTAAACAAGTGATTTTGTTATTATACTTTCAGGTTGTATTGCTTTCACCAGTGCCAGCTGAATTCAGTGATTCTTCTAAACTACAAGATTCCTATCCTGGTGGATCCTATATGGATGACTATCCATTCAACAGTAGTGCTCATATTGTTGCTCTCAGAGATCAAGTAGCAAACAGATTTACATTGGTAAATACGTGTGACAACAACAACCAATGATTACATTGCTATTTTTATTGTATTGTAAAATTGTATTCATCCTGATAACTACATGTAGTACCAGATGAGCAATTTTGCTACTGTATATTTTTCACTATCAAACACTTTCAGCCACTTGAATGACAAGTAAATTGCACAGGACTTTCATAATGTTATAGATTATATGGCTTACTATGGATCACATTGCACAGCTATGTTTGTAAACAGGCTTCTTGTTTAAAATATTAATTTTAACTATTCCCTATTTCTGCTTCAAGTACCTCCAATATTCTCAGGATTTTTTTTATACAAGTTAAATTAAACATATATTTCTATGATGTTAGGAACTGGCTAATGGTAATATGAAGAGAACCACTCTACCTGAATTGTGTTCCTGTCCATTAGGTAATTATTTTCTATTAACTACCCGTTAGTTGTAGAAATTCCATTCAGTTTGTTTCATGTCAGTCACAATTTGTTACATGTTTATGCTACTTTGTTAACAACGAAAGAATCATGACCTCACATGATATCAAGTATTACTGTAAGTATGTTTTCATAAGTAAGTATATTTTGTGGGTATTTCGAAAGTTGAAAAACAATAGCACAGTCATAGTTACTTAGCAAAACACACACATGTGTGTACCATCTTTATTTCAGTTTTCATTTTCTCAGAAAAATCATCTTTTTCAACTAAAAACCCATGTTTCTCTGCTGTCTTGAATAATTCTTTTGACTTTTTTTATTTTTGTTCTACCCTCGCCCGTTGCTGTGTAGAATGCGCATGCACAAATAGAATTACATCACGTCTGACGGTAATTTGGGAATCTGGATTGGCAACCAAATTTTGCCAACAATACAAATTCTTTTGCATGTACACAGTTGGTGTTTTACTAATGACAGATTTTATTTTGTTCATTAAGCCTTTAATTTATCTTTCTGCAATGTTCCTCTCATTGCTCTGTGTTAATACTCTGATTCACTGATCATTGCTCATCTCTCTCACTGATCATTGCTCATCTCTCTCACTGTTCATTGCTCATCTCTCTCACTGTTCATTGCA